GATTCTACCATATATAAGATTAATAATTACTTCCATGTCTACATTTTTAGTGTCAATCAATTGGGCATCTTTTTGATATCCCAGAACCTCAACCTCATACCATAATTTTATATTTAGTGAATGCAAATCTTTACATTAGTAATGTAATATGAAAACTTTCAAATATATTCACCTTTTAAATGCATAATATGAACATTAAATTCATCATGTCTCAAAATACAGTATTCAGTGCCAAAATTACTTCCAATATCAAGAAGATAAACATATTTTGCCATAATTACCACATATATTCTATCAGAGTTTCAAAGGTAAGACTGAATGTTCAGAATTAATAATAAAAAGAAATGTTCTTCTTCCATCTGGGAACTAGATAGATCAATGAACTCACAGTCCTTGTTCCTTGTCTCAGTATTCTCACTTGAAAGTCAGTAGCCAGCTTTCCCCAAGTTAAGACAATTACAAAGGTTGCACTGGTTAACTGAACTACAAAACATCAGGGCTGGAGTTTCAGTTGAGTTTCAAAAGATTCCAGAAAGGCAAGCTCCATGTCCTCAAGCTGATTACTTTCAAATGAACTATAGAATTACTAAAAAGCTTGATCTTGGAGTATAAGAGAGGTTATGAAGCCAAAGTTAAGCATAATTTTTCCACAGTTTAGTACAGAAACAGAATGTCACTTATTCATTATTACAGTTGAACAGGAGAATGGCCAAACAAAAAAAAAAAAGCCCTTTTTCTTACAAGCCCTTGAATGCTGTTTCTAAAACCGGCTGTAGTGGTTACTACATACATGATAGTAATCATAAATAGCATATTTCCTCCCACAGCCTCTTCAGCTTGCCTATGCTGAATTAGAACTAAGGAACTCAAGGATATTTTGATGTATTATTAAACATAATTGTCATCAACATTATTTGATGATTAATATGTAATATCTATGTAACAGGAAAACATATGAATTCAGGTATTGTCTGGAATATCTAGGATATGTATATTGCCTTCAGGCTTTTGGTAAATAATAAAATTGATCTTGCTAGTTTATTTAACATTGGCTATAGTTCCTGGGGATTATGCAAAATACCAGAATTTGTTTAAGCAATGGAACTATCTGAAATGAGTTTTTCAAGAAAATTACAAGTTTCAAGTTTTATAAAATACCTAGGCACCTATACATGACTTGAAAGCTTGGAGTAAAGTATCAAATGGTAAATGCTGACTGTATTAGTATTGCAAATAATCCATAGTAATTGTATAAAATAACCAAAATGGTTTACTCAGTATGAAAAAAAATTATTTTAAAGGTTTTGTTTCTAATAACTCTGGCAGGTATACACTAGCCTGATTGCTAGTGTTTATTGCCCTTGATGGAGGGTAAACTGTTCTTACATAAGTAATAGCTGATTTCTATAATGTGCCTGTAATAGTTACATAGCAAATGAAAATACTTAGAGTTTCTTTTTAGTAGTTTGTGATTTCTCATGGTAACTTAGATCCTCACTGGTTAAGAAAGTGACAGATGAGGATACTATTTTACTTATGTTGTCCAGTAAAACATGTTTTCCACCAAAAATGTAGTCTGTTAAAATATTTTATAAAGTGACCTCCAAGATAAGCCAGCTTGAATATCTGTTTTCAACATTTAGACTTCAGAGGCCACCCTTGAGGCTGAAGAACCCTGGAGCTACTAGCATTGAAAGAATACCAACTCAAGTTATTCTTTTGCCAGAAAAGATCACTAGTTAGGAGTATTAGCCAGGTGCTGCTAACATACCTTGCCAGATCTTGGGATAACACGTTTGCTTAGGGCCTAAATTTGGTTTCCTATGCAGCATCATGACCGGCCACTACTGAGAGTTGGGCAAGTCCATGAACACATCCACTGATAATTTCTATATTTATAGAAAGCCAGAACATGTGTAGATAATCACACAATTAGATATTTATGTAGTGCCAGATTTTATGAATACGAGAATTTGTTAATTAGCACAAGGACTAATCATTAAAATTCAAAAATAGATAAATAAACAGGAATGCCATTTATTTGTTAACATTTCATGGGGAAAGTATGCAGCTGCTATCCTTTTGATGAATATAGGCTTCTGGAGATAAAAATGTGCAGAATAAAAAGTATCTGCAATTTTTGAAACCCTAATGAGTAAAATCCAATAAATCACTATATACTCTTTATATTAAAAATAATCACAGTGATTCTCCTCTTAAGTTAAAAAAAAAAAGAAAAAAGTTTAAACTGGCATATGCTTAGCATTTGAATTATATGGTCTGGCATTCCATTTTTTTTTTTTTTATCCACTGTTTGGTTCTTTTCAAAGAGCCAAAGCTGATTTTCATCAGATAGGAGTTAAAAAGCACACACACGTCACTCAGTACCAAATTGTTTTAGCTAAAGGCCATGGCAAAGCATGAAATAACTTCTTTAGAGCACTTCCTCATGTGGGTGTGTTAGATAACTGTCTGCTCCAACATTAAAATGAAACGCACTGTGACCTGATCAAGACTTTGGGGATCTAAACGGGCAGATATCATGTGCTGATAGGAAGAGATGCCTATAACCAATAAGGCTTATTAATGAATTTTTCTGGCACTCTATACCCTCCTGTAATGCAAGCTTTTCAGCTTTCCAAATCCCTATACAGCAGACTACAGTGGTTTTGAGTTTATTTGTGTACATTTTACAATGTCCTGCTGTATTTAGATTGTGACAGTCCCTCCCAGAAAAGGCCAAGATTATTTTTCATACTAAAAATATTTTAGATCTACTGAAGTTTAAGAATTATAATGCAAAAGAAAACGTATGCACATTCTAAAATTTAAACGAAACATAAAAATGACTAAATTCTTTCTTGCTTTTGTTCATGCTAGAAGGTTAAAGGAAATTCTCATTTTCTCTTGAAAGTCTCTCCATGTTTTGTTTGCTTGTGGTTAACATAAACATATATAACATGAAATTTAAAAAAAAATACTGTATCTGCAAAGAAACTGTGATTTCTTTATCCATACATGGATGGCTGTGTGCATAAATGCACATGTATGCAGATATCGCCACGTATATATGTATACAAAAAAAAAAGAGAATGATTGACCAAGACATAGATGAAAGATTTCTACTGATAAAAGAGTAGAATTTTAGATAGTCCTCACAATGCTAACATAGAAAATGACAGGTGCATGAGACATGCACACTTTTGACATACGGTATTAGTTTTGAAACAAATTTTTGGGTCAGAGTCTGAAATGGCATAAATTATATATAAAATTGTATTTGAAAAACAAAATTATCATGTACCAAATTAACATAAAAGACTCTCCTAAAGTTCCCCTTAGACCTTAGGGAAAAAAAATCTTTGACGGGATCTGATTGGGTATACTTAGTATTTGTACTACTCTTGGTCAAAGCCAGCCTCTCCAGTTTAAAAAAACAGTTCAGGCAAGATAAGCAAATTGAAAGTCTCGGAATAAATTTCTTAAAAGAAGAGGTGAAAAAGACTTTTAGCAGCAAAAGTTCATCACCTTCCAGAAATAATGGATTTTTAATAAACATTTTACTAGGTTTCAACCTTGAGAATGTGTTTGGGAATCTGCTCTAGCGTCCCAGGTGGGTTAAGAATATTGCTTTATGGACTTCTTTGTGTTGTCAGAGAGGCCTAATGGAATTAAGGGGGAAAAAGTCTGCCACTTCTATTAAATAAATAATTTATTACAAAAAGATGATTGTTATTATCAAAGATCTCTACAGATCAGCATCCATTTTCTAACATTGCTGTGTATATGCCGAAACACTTGCGTCTCTATGTGACTTAAATTTTACCAGATGAATAGCAGTTTTACTTTGACAAATCTGAAATAAAATTCCATTAAGAAGTCCATTTCAAATGGAGCTTATTAAAATAATCCCTTCAATTTTGAAGAACACTATTCTGGGAAAACTCTTCAACAATGTCTGCTAGTTTGAAATGTAACTTTTCCCACTATATAAAATAAGAAAAGAAAGGAAAAGAAAGCACCACAAAACTGTATTTGAAATAAAAGATATATTATTTATACTCCCCAAAATGTTAAATGAATACTTACAGTTGTTGTGCAAGATGGCCTGATACACTTCATAGCTTCCACTTTGTAAAAAGATGGCCAGCCCCTCACTCCACCCTCCCCAAGCATAAATAAACAGTAACATACTAAAAGGAAACTGTCCTAGGATAAAAACTGCTTGTTAAGAAAGTTTGAATTCTTACTAACCAAAGTGGTATTCCTATAAATGTAAAAGCCCATCTGCAAAATAAAAGTTAGAAAACAGAATACCTTATTTGTTTCTAAATACATCCCCCAGATGCAATGTTTCTGTGTGTGATGACAAAAATAATTACTCAATTCTTACCCACCCTCAGCAACTACCCCTCACCTTATGTCCAATGACATTAAATAAACATGCTGGCAAAAAAGTATTCAACCTGCTTCAAGGATTTAAACTGTAAATATGGACTTTAAACTTCAACGTAAAACAAAGAACAAGAGTCTCACTTTAGTAATACCCACACTGGCACTGCAGCTAAAACTCATTGGCAAATAACTAACAAAACCCAGTTAGCAATAAATAAGGACAACATGATATATAGACAGACAGATGGAATTGCATAAACAGACAAGAAAAGCAAAGAGACAAACATACAGAAGGGTCTGTTTTAAAAGACTGAAAGATTCTGATTTATTTGGTACTTTAGTGAGAAAAATAGATTTGTTAGTAATTATTTTTAAAGTAACAAAACTGGATCACAAGGGCACACCCCTAAGTAAGTAGGAAGAAAATTAGTAAAGGGGAGGCCTCTTACAGATGTTCTAAATTTTAAGCTAGCACTAGCTCTGTCAAACTTAAATCTGGAAATTAAAATTCAAGGAAGAAAGAATAAAGGCACTGGGGGCTAAAGGGGATGACAGAGGGGGAATTGAGGAAACAGGAATGTTTTTAAGAAAGTTGTCTGCCCTACCTTCTTCCCCAGCGCTGAGTTTCTCTTCTTATAATCGGTGTCTCCCTGGAAGTACAGTGTGAGTGGTAATGACTGCCTGCCTCCCTAATGAGTCCATTTTCCTGCTCTTGATGTTGTGTATATACACACACTGCAACCTACCTTACAAACCACAGAGACGGGAAGAGAGAGAGAGAGCAAGAGAGAGGAGGGAGGAGGGAAGAGAGGGAGAGAGAGACAGAGACAGAGCAAGCGAGTAAGAGAGAGAGAAGAGGGGAGAGAGAGAGAAAGAAAAACAGAAAGAAACAGAGAGAAAGGCACAGACAAAGCCCTCCTACCAGACAGCAGACAGCCCTCCTTCCCCTATCCAGCAAAATGCAACTCGTCTAATGCAGCAACAGGTTCAGTATTTCCAGACTTACAGAGTGAAAAAGGTATATTCTCTCTATCATTATTGCTTGGAAATAAACAGTTTAAGAGCAGCTGGCTCCACCTTCTTTATTTATGCTCCATTATGAAGAATGTATTGTTTCAGTTCTGGCAGTACATGTAATTATCATAAATACATTTTTGCATATAAGGAAGAAAGTGAAATGCATAGCTTATTTGTGCAATCTTTTAAATTAATTTTTTAATATGTGAAGAATGTCAACAAATCTGCTCTGACAAAAGCCTAGTAATGATTTTAAAGTCAGAGCAGTCTTAAAGGAGGCTCTGTAAGAAACAGACTCCAAACAATAGGAAAACTGATCTCAGACAAAACTGGTAACTGCAAAGAAGAAATCATTGCTCAGTTAATAAATCAAGACCATATACAAAATTGCAGACCTACAAAATTACAGGCCAGAACAGAATTAAGCTTAATTAAGTAACTAATAGGCTAGGACCCTAGAAGAAGGGAGATTGGCTTCTCATTTGAAGCATCTAGCTGTACAAACATCACAATGCAATGTACTCTGTGTGAACAGGTGCAATGCGTATAGTACATAGTGGTACAATGACAGAAATAATTCCCATAAGAAGCTACCATCACAATCAGGACAAGATTTCATAGAATATGGGTCTGAAACTATAGCAGTTAACCTTAATCTTTTATTAGGAGGGAAAAATAAAAATAATCAAAGCTTCTAAATAAACCTGCCTTAAAAGAAAAAAATAAAACAGTTTTCCTTTGTCTGATACTTCTAAACAGATTTTATCTAAATTCCAGTTCCAAAATTACACTGTTATTATACTCCTGGCCCCATCATATGTTTCCCACCCACTTTCCCCACTCCCAGGTGCCCTTTCTCCTATAAGTGATATATTTGCAGCTATAGAATTACAAACATCAGAAGACAGAACTAGTTTTAAGCCACTCTCTTCATTCCCTAATTTTTAAAAACTAGACTCTGCTTGATGAGTCATATCTCCTTCAAGCATTATGTCTATCTAGACACCCACCTTCCTTAATATATTTCTATATAGTTTGGCTATGTGTCATTTAGATGAGACTTAAGAACATCATAATAGAGGTAAAATTTTCTAAAGAATATTTACACACAAATAAAAATATACATATTTACACACAAATAAAGAATATTTATACACAAATAAAAAATATAAGTGCATATGACTTATTCAAACCCTGCATTTGGGCAACAATGACCCTAAGTATATTAATTGTAAAAATCCTTTTTATGTGGCTTTGTGTATTAACATGCTTCAAAAATTAGAATATGTCTCTCTGCGTGAACAAAACTACCTTGCTAAAAAAGCTTCAATTCCTTTGTTTAAAAAAAAAAACAATTTTCAATTAAAAATTAAATAACTCAATATATAACTTATAGATCAACTATGTATTTATCTTATTCACAGATATCTTTAAAAATGTCAAATAAATTTCGGGCCATTTTTAGAATACAGATTAATATTGCTTTAGGTATTTTCAGGGTAGATAACCTACAGCATAGATTCTAGAATGCAATATCTAGCTATACATTACACAAACTCTCTTGGGAAATTTCTAGCAAGAAACCAAGAGTCCTGACCACTCTAGTCTCATTGTAACCCACCAATTTAACCTCTCTAGTGCTGGGTTAGTATTTCACCCTTCCAGGGTAGATGATTAAGAGGAGACAGACACACACTAAAAATGATGTAACAATCACCTACTTCAGTTCACTTGTCTGTAAAGAAACTTTTCCAAAATACATTTAGTGTGCCCAAGGTACCAGCCTGCATCTCCTCCTCACTGTTTGGCCTGGCAAGTCTGCTTTTCTATTACTGCCCTATTGTTTCTCTGAAGCTTTATTAAAATGTATTAAGAAAAACGTCAATTAAAAAAACACATAAACCTCACAGTTTGACAGATAGCTCTGAATTAGATATTTGTATTTTCTGAATTTTTAAAATAAGATTCCAGGTATTTTATTTTGTTTCATTTTGTTTTAATTCAAGGAGAAGATAGTATTTGGTTTCTACCAGCAGGAATCAAAAGGAATATAAAGAACCATGAAGTCTCTTTTTAAAAAAACATCCTGAGAGCTAAATTTAAGAGAAAAATAAATCTTTTGGCTTAGTGAAAAATAAGGCCATGCATGGTGGCTCATGCCCGTAATCCCAGCACTTTAGGAGGATGAGGCACGTGGATCACCTGAGGTCAGGAGTTCAAGACCAGTCTGGCCAACATGGTGAAATTCCATCTGTACTAAAAATACAAAAATAAGCCAGGCGTGGTGGTGCGTGCTGGTAGTTCCAGCTACTCGGGAGGTTGAGGCAAGAGAATCACTTGAACCCAAGAAATCAAGGCTGTAGCAAACCAAGCTTGCACCATAGCACTCCAGTCTGGGTTTCAGAGGAAGACTCCATCTCAAAAAAGAAAAAAAAAAGAAAAATGTACAATATCTCAAAACTTTTCCCATATCTGTACATTTTACTAGATTCAAAGCACAATAAGTGGCACACTGTTAGTACTTACTGGAATTCAAGATACACTTCCTCTAGTTGGGTCTGTAGACAACAAGGACTGAAGAAATTATTGTAATTGACTATCATAGTATGGAAGTTATAAAGTTATTAAATTGTTTCATGTGTTGATACATCATGGGGCAATTTGGTCCCATAGAAAGATCCTAAGTGGAAGTTAAAAACTGGTTATGTCACAACTTAAATCTATAGATTCAATTCAATCACAAATAAAATCCCAGAAAATTATTTTGCATATATGAACTAACTGATTCTAAAATTTATACGGAGAGGCAAAAGACTCAAAGTAACCAACATATTCTTGAAAGAGAAGAACAAAGTTGGACAAATGAAACAACCAGACTTCAGGACTTACTATAAAGCTACAGTAATCAAGACTGCATGATATTGGCAAGAGAAAAGACACAGCAGATCAATGAAACAGAATAGACAGCCCAGAAGAAGGCCCACATATATAGTCAACTGATCTTTGACTTAAAAGGAAAAGAAATACAATGGAGCAAAGAAAGCCTTTCCAACAAATGGCGATGGAACAACTGGATATCTACATGCAATAAAATAAATCTAGACACAGTCTTTATACTATTCACAAAAATTAACTCAAAATGGATGGATCATAGACCTAACTGTAAAATGCAAAACTCTCAAACTTCTAAATAGGAGAAAATCTGGATAACCCTGGGTTTCACATGACTATTTTAGATACAACACCAAAGACACGATCTGTGAAAGAAAGAATTGATAAGCTAGATTTCATTAAAATTAAAATTTCTGTTCTGCAAAAGACACTGTAAAGATAATGAAAAGATAATCCAGAGACTGGATGAAAATATTTATAAAATATGTATCTCCCATCCAAGTACTAACAAGGCCTGACCCTGCTTAGCTTCTAAGATCAGACAAGATGGGGTACATTCAGGGTGGTATGATATGTACCTCATAAAGGATTGCTATCTAAAGCATGAAAAGAATTCTTAAAACTCAACAATAAGAAAATATTATAACCTGATTTTAAAATGGGCCAAAGACTTTAAGTCACCTCATCAAAGAAGATATACAGATGGCAAATAAGCATATGAAAGGGGCTCCATATTATATGTCATTGAGGAAATGCACATTAAGAACAATGACACACCACTATATATGTAATAGAATGGCCAAAACCCAGAATACTGACAACACCAAATGATGATGAGGATGTGGAGCAACAGGAACTCTCATTCATTGCTGTAGGAATGAAAAATGGTACAGCCACTTTGGAATACAATTTGGCAGTTTCTTACAAAACTAAACACATATACTATCCAGTAATTGCACTGGTTGTTATTTATGCAAAGGAATTGAAAACTTATACTCACATGAAAACCTACATACAGATGTTTATAGTAACTTTATTCATGATGCCAGTACTTGGAAGAAATTAATATGCCCATTAGTAGGTGAATGGATAAACTATGGTACATCCAGGCAGTGAAATATTATTCAATGCTAAAAAGAAATGAGGTATCAAGTCATGAAAAAACATGTAGGAAAATTAAATGCATATTACTAAGTGTAAGAAGCCAATCTGAAAAGATAGCCTTCTAAACACTCTATGTGGCTATACACACTGTATGATTCCAACTATTTGACATTCTGAAAAAGCAAAAGCCATGAAGACAGCAAAAAGTTACAAGGGGTTAAGATGGAGAGAGGGATGAACAGGAAGTACGCAGGATTTTCAAGGCAGTAAAACTACTTTGTATAATACGATAATGCTAAATACACATCATTATACATTTGTTCAAACCCACAGAAGGCACAATACCAAGAGTGAACCTCAATGTAAACTATGGTGCTGGAATAATAGTAGGTCAAAGTTTGCTTATCATATGCAACAGATATACAACTCTGGTAGGGGATACTGATGATAGGGGAGGGTCTGCATATGTGAAGACAAGGGGTATATGAGATGTCTCTGTACCTCCCCATCAGTTTTACCATGAAACTAAAATTACTCTAAAAAAGCCTATTAAACAATAAATTAAAAGAAAATTGGTTCTGTCCCAGCATTGCCACAAATAGCTTGCATACCCTGAGCAAGTCATGCAACCATCCTGAGCTTCAGTTTCTGCCTATTCTAAAAATAATAAATGTAAAAGGAGGGAATTGAACAGGGTATCATAATAATTATTATTACAGCCAATGCTTAAGTGCTTCCTATGTGCCAGGGACTGTTCTAAGTACTTTTTATTTCTTCACTCTTTAAGGTATAATAATTATCCTATGATGTAGAAATTCTTTTGAGTCTCACTTTCAAGATGAAGAAACAGAGAAATTAAGTGACTTGCCTGAGATCACATATCATAATAATAATAACAGGAGGAGGAGATAAAGATGGCCTAATAGGAACAGCTCTGGAGTGCAGTTCCCAGTGAGAAGGCAGAGGGTAAGTGATCACCACTTTTCCAAATGAGCTTTTACTGCCCACAGACCAGGAGATTCCCGGGCTGAAAAGCCCGCAAGTTTCCACCACAGCTGTTATAGCCAGGCTGCGGGTCTCCGCACTAAAACTCACACAAATCTGGGTGACCGTTTCAACTGGCACCTAGAATGCCTGGGATACAGAGTCACTCATTCAACTGAAAAACAAGGGGGCTGAAACAGGGGGCCAGGTGATCTGGCTCAGTGGGTCCCACCCCCGACAAAGACCAGCAATCTATGCTCTGGATTGAGTTTTGCAGCAAGTGCAGCTGGACCCATGACAGTCCAGCTGAGTGGGGGAAAGGGCATCAGCCATTACCGAGGCAGTCCACCACTACTGAGTCAGTCCACCATTACTGAGGCAGCCCACCATTACTGAGGCAGACCACCATAACTGAGGCAGTTCTAAATGTACCTCTGTAAACAAAACCACAAGGAAGTTCATGCAGCAGGTGGGCAGAGCCCACAGCAGCTCAGCAATGTCTTCTGGCAGACTGTGACTAGTACTACCTTCTTGCTGGGCAGGGCATCTCTAAAAAAAGGCAGCAGCACATCAAGAACTTATAAGTAAAGCCCCACCTTCGCAGGACAGAGCACCTTGGAAAAAAGGCATTTATGAGTTCCACTGCAGCAGACTTAAATGTACCTGCCCAGCAGCTATAAATGGAACAATGCAATTCCCAGCTCAGCACTTGAGCTCCTATAAGGGACAGACTGTCTCCTCAAGCAGCTCCCCAACCTCTCATAAAGGGAGAGCGCAGCTGACATCTGGTGGGTACCCTTCTGGGACGAAGGGTACCAGAAGCATAGCCAACA